CCCCAAAACCCCAAAACCCCAAAACCCCGTCATGCATTTCAAATATATATATGGAAAAAAGAATCTTATTAGATTATCTGAGATAATAAATGCATTCCTTGTTTTACTATTCTTTTAATAATCTGCTCAGGCTGAATATCATGCTCAATTTCCACCAAAGAATCCATTTAACAACTTCATGAGTCCATCTATAAATATTAAGCATAAAGTAATTATTACTCTCTTCTTTGAGTTTCTAGTTAAAGTACTTTTAAGAGATCTTATCGATATACTATATGTTGATTAATTTTCTGAAATAATAATACACTTAGGAACGTAGGATCTCTGTCTATCTATGAATCATACTTATCCTTTGTTTCCTTAAATAGAGCGAAGTCCCCTATTTGTATAAGCTCTTAAAGCATATCTGTGTAATTCAGAAGAGGGGTTTATTCCCTAGCAAAATGCTTCTTTATTTTTCTAGCTCCATCAAAGTTCTCGCATCTTACAATTAGATCTAATTAAGTTCTCGCAATGAATAGATCTAATTCACCACTGTATCCCTATTTTATCACTTATTCCATACAACTTATGACATTGTCTACATCTCTAGCCTTCAAAAAGAATCCCTATTATCAACTCACATACTAATCATTAACATACATAGGCTAAGGCATATTTCTACTGCTATTGATATCTAAGAGCTAGAAGCCTACTCAATTCTTTGTTTTAGTTTCTTGTAAATCTATAAAAGATTTTATTGTATGAAATCTCTTACTCGATGACTCTTTCAAATAAATTCTCCATCCTTGCATTATCACCATGTTCGAATGCAAAAATAAGCTGCTCATAAAAGTAATCATCAACTTCATTTGTCTTCTTGACATGTTCCATATAGTATGTTTCAAGCAAATCAGCCAGCAAATCTTTCTATAAAAATATAAGTAATGAATAAATTATCTATGTAATAGAGGTTCTAGATCTTTCTACTTACTTAAGAGTGATCGGCTAAATCTTTTAATCCTCTTTGAATAGCTTTCTTCATCTCTTCATTCTTTCTTCTCATCTTTGCTCTAAATTAAGATGATAAAATGTCTGTGATTGATTTGAGTTTACTTGAAAAAGAGAGTACGAGTGAGTTACTCATATTCATAATAGTTTTTTTGCTCGAGCAATTATTACAATCTATCTGACATTTTTATGTTTTTATAATTTAATAAATTTACAATCTGAAAGATATGAAGCATTAGGGGTTTTGGGGTTTTGGGGTTTTGGGGTTTTGGGGTTTTGGGG